TTCATTCATATGTTTATTCAGATCCTCACCTGCAAGTCCATTAAACCTTGACAACAAGTGTATTAAACCAGATTCCGATTCGAAAGGAACAACAACATCATCATATTCAATACACAAGCTATTATAATTTACATCAAGGGCAACTAATTGTCTTAAGGTTCTATTATCAGCCATTTCAAAATCAAGTTCAGTATCCGAAGCAAACAAGTTATGCAGATAGTCAGACTCAGACTCAGACTCAAACATAGTGATGGAAAACAATTAATTAAATTCCAAAATAATAAAATAACACCAGAATTAAACTAATTAAGCAAAATAACAATTATGAGAATTTTTTCAATTTTTTTCGACTCTATAAAAACAGTAAAAAATTCATTAAAAATAGAAAAAAAGATTTTTTTGCGATTCTGATGGTGGATTCCATGTATTCCTAATTACCGGACGATTTTTCTGCTTCTCGTAGGCAAAACAGTTTTACGATCAGACACAATTTTTCCAAAAACAGATTTTTTACGATTTGGACTGTAAAACGCGAATTGGACGAAACCGCGAGGAAACTAAGGTCTAGACTCGAGGATACTAACTAACCATATGACTCTAAAATTGATTAATAACGACAAGAATCCCCGGCAACGGCGCCAATTTGATCCGCGGTCGCTCACGGATCAAAAACGAGTAATTTTAAGAAAATGCAGTACAGCGACAGTGACTCGGAATATCGTCTCACAAGGATTCTTGTAGGAATAATCAAATACAGTAACGAAATATGGGGGGTTTTGATTAAGATGAAATAAACGAAAAATAAGTGATTAGAAAAAGTGATTGTAGTAATGAGTTGAAACGGCTAATCTACTGTTTTCGTTTCCCAACTTATCATCGATCCTAATAATTCTCAATTCCTAAGCGGATTCTATCCCCTTTCCGATAATAACAATCAACAAGCGCAATTGATATTATACGATACACGTTCCTAATTTCTGAATTAAGCAAACAGATAAAATAGTAACCGTGAATTAAGCAAACACGAGAAACATACACGGATTAAGCAACCACGATTAAAGTATAATAACATGCAATCATCGAAATAAATCAATCATCCCTAAGATAAATCGAATTAAGAAAACAAAATATCATAGAGAAGAATTGAAAGGAAATAGATTTTATTGGAAATTAAAAGAACCTCAAAGTGTTGGCGGGAACCGATTACAACTGATTAATCCGAAGGAATTAGTTCTCCATATTTCATACAAAGCTCCAACCAATATTTTTGTGAATAGTCAATAGGATACGGCAAATGAGGTTTCCCCTCAAAATAAAACAATGGATTCAGTTCATAACCCAACTGGGTCAAAACATAACCCAGGCCCAAAACAAGATCAAAACTAAAACAGAATTCTAATGCTGTAACTTGAAACGAAATTCTGGAATTTTGAGCTCCGAATCTGACTTTGACTCCAACACGAAAGTTGTAGCTTTCTCTCTTAGCTTTTCGGCGATTTTTAGAACGCCTCAAACAGATTCTCGGAACTCCAATTATGATCGTTTCCGTGCAGACTGCTAAAGCTGAAAAATAAGTGCGAAAATTAAATTAAACCAAAAATAAAATAAAATATGAAAACATAATAAAATATAATAATAAACAAAATAAAATAAAGAAATGCCTAAGTAAAAATGTAGGAGAATGTGCATAAATATGCACTGATCACAACAATAATCTATGCGTTGAATTTTTTATGGGTAAAACTTAGAGCATTATCTATTTTTCATGTAGGGCGAGGACAACTGGGACAAACCGCAGGGCCCATGCATCATGTGTGATTTGACTAAGCTATACAACTTTGGATGTAGAAGGGGGTCTGGAATTTCAGCAGAGGTGTTGTTGTCAATGTCAGGTGGTGTTGGATACTTACATTATGGATGCAAGAAAATCAGGATGTGGGCATATGTCAATCCTCTTTTCTGGAATTTTATAGTATACATGTCTGAAAAGTAGAGAAAATCAATGTTAATTTCACACTCTTAATTTTCAAAATAATATAATGAAGAAGGAGATTGTATATCAATTACATGCCAACACCTTTCCAAGTACATGTCGCTTGGTTAAGCCAGTCATGAGTTCATCAAACTTGACCTTGAAGACCTTGGAAACGAAATCAAGTTGATCATCTGCTTTTAAGTTATCCTTGGATAAGTGTCGTGTAATCTCAGGCCAATTTGGGTTGCAGGTAAAAGTTATAAATAAATCAGGAAAGCCAAGTGCATTGGAAATAACCATAGCATTAAAGTAAAGTTGGTCCATATATCTTTTGCCACCTACAAAAGAAGAAGGCAACACAACTCTTCAGCCTGTTTTGGTTTGTTGGTTAGTAACACCACTGTCGCACCGTTTATTTAACTGCTTATACTTTCCAACTCTTGGTTTCAATTGATTTTTCCTCAAACAATTCAGATGTTCTATTTCCATCATGATGTATCCATCAACTAAAAACGGTTGGAACAATCTTCTAGAATGTAGCAATGTTTTAGCTTCTTGTGTCCATTTTCGTAACTGGAAACATAACCTATCTTTGATGGTTTGGCGATTTTGTTCTGTAACAACCTTTTCATGTCTATATTTGTGGAGTATGTTAGGCCTATATCCATCTTCACCATATGGAAAAATCAAACGGTATTGATAGGCCAAGTAACTTGGATGAAACTCGTCAATCCTTTGTAATTTTCCATTATAGTGGTGTACAATTATGTCTCTCTTTGGTGCTTAGTCTATATCCCCAACTATTAGAGCTGCAACTTCAGAAACGGTAGGGCAGTTATACATGCGACTGTCAGTGAATCTTTCAGAGATTAGCCTAAGTTTCAAATATTGACAGGCATTATTTTTCAACATGTCTCTTGTCATTCGAATTGCTTTTGCATGAGGGTTACTTTCATCTAACACGAACTTCAGGCTTCTGACTATAGACTCTTTAATATGTTTATTATCCCTATAAATTTGAATTAAATTGAGCATGTATCCAAGTTACTTGAAAATGAAATGGAAAAAGAAAAGGATTAAGAAAAATATTAAAACCTTAAAACATTCCATTTTGTTGACAACCTCATTGTCGACGTCAAAGATATAAAATTGAGCATACTTTGGTGGTTCTCCTATTTCTGGGATTAAACTTCCAATTCGGTGGCAAGTTTGACGCCCCCTTTAGTATTGGTTGTAGTCGCAAAGTCGGTGGACCCCCTCCCTTTAGTATTGGTTGTGTCAAATTTCATGTCAGGTGATGTGAAAGAAAATATTGCATTGTATGTTTGAGTGTTGTTTTGAAAATTCTTAGCATCGTGATGGTTATGATAAAAAGTAAGTCTTTGTAAAAATGGTGGTGGTGCCTGAAGAATGGGAAGAACAATTTTCCCTCCCTTGCAACAGACTTGGAACTTTGGAATCGTTGTGTGTCTTGACTTCCCCTTACGCTCTTGATACCACGTAGAAGCACCACAATATTGGCATTCCCAAGCAGAAGATCCTATATCTAAATAGATTGCAGTTAAAAAAACACAAAAATCATAGTAGGATTATGAGAAAGAGCATTTATGAATATATATTGAAGTGTCATACAGTAAACATGGAAGAAGGTAATATGATCATAAAAATACCTTGTTGGTGTTAATTTCCCAAAGGAATAGAGTTTTGGTCATCATCATCTTCAGTGTCATGATTAGAAGCGTTGTCCGAATTCGAATGGGCAGAACTGTAAGAATTAGAGTATGTTGCATTGATAAGATTAACATGAAGTGGATTTTGATCGATTACAATAGACGTAGAAGTTAAAGGTTGGTTCCTACATTGAGGTTGATTATAAATGATGATCTGAGAAAGTGGGACAACATTGAAGATGTTCAGTAGATTAGTTGGGTTCGATAAATTGTCTTTGAGTATTTTTATCGCTTTGTGTTCATTGGAAATAAGCGTTACGAATAACTTTGCATTCGATTAATCTATGACTTGATCATTATTGAACAATTTGTGTTCATTATCATTCCATAAAGTTTGCGTTGCTCATATAATTTTTCGATAGTAGGTTCGATTAGACGAATCGATTCAGGTTGTTTTTCCGATGTGCCATACTTTTTTAAAACAAAATTTTGACAAGAGTTTTTTATTTTAAATTTGTGATCTATTCACTTCCTCTAGATCGAAGTCTATCACCTAACAATGGATTATTAATGAACTACACAATTCTCACCGTATTTTCTCTCTTTCTCCAATTTTTTTATTATTAGATTAATTTATATATATATATATATATATATATATATATATATATATATATATATATATATATATATATATATATATATATATATATATATATATAATAAATTAATAATTTAATTGGTATGCACCGATAGTGTAAAATTATTTTATACTATCAACCAATCACCTTTATGCATCCCGCCACATCAGACTCTAAAATTTAAATTAACTGTATAACATGTCAGATTAATATATTCATATTGGATGACAAGATAAATTATACGGTCAGTGCATACCAATTAAACTCATAAATTAAAAATAAACACTTTTGAATTTAATCAAGATCACGTCACTTTTTATTTTATTTTATTTTAAAATTAATTAATATTTTAAAATTATTTTTACTAAATAATTTATCTAAAGACCAAATAATTTATCTAAATTAAATCTTTACCTAAATTATAAAAAAAATCCCTATAAAAAATCCACGCTGGAAATAGAGGTTTTGTTTTCATGTTAAAAAGAAAAGAAAGAAAAGAAGGTTTTCGTATTCAATGACGACTTTTCAAGTCGAAAACAAAACAATGATTACTTCAATTCAGCAGAATCAGCCCCTTGTTTTCATTTTCTATTTTAATACTAATATAATATATAAGGCCACGTTTTGTTGCGTCTGGAGCAAGTGAAGTAAAAGAGACATAGAAGAGAAAAAGGGTAACTAATTCGGTAGCAAAATTCGGTTTGTCTTCTCAGAATGGCGAGTTCCGATCAACCAGTAATGATAGTTGCAATCGACGAGAGTGAACACAGTGCTTACGCTCTCAAATGGACTCTCGATCATTTCTTCAACAACAACAATTCCGTTTTCAAGCTTGTTCTTCTTCACGCTAGACCTTCCGCTACTTCTTCGGTTGGTCTCGCTGGCCCTGGTATATATATAACCCTAATTCCTTTTCAATTTGGTTCATCGTTGTTATTGTTATCGATGTTTTCGTAGTTGAATCAATGATTTTGGTAATTGAATGAAGTGTATGCAGGAGCTGCTGAGGTTTTGCCGATTGTGGATTCTGATTTGAAAAAGATTGCTGCTAGAGTTGTTGACAGTGCTAAACAGCTCTGCATTAAGAAATCGGTATTCTATTTTTGTTTATGGTTTTAGAAAGATTTTCTATCAAGTACTTGAATGCATCATGCTTTGTGATAGTTCCTGTGAATTTCTGTTCTGCTTTTGGTGTGAAATTATTGAGTTTATGTGTTCAATCACGCCATTAATAGTTAGGGCTAATAACATTGTGTATTAATATCATCCTAGAATATATTTTTTTCTAGTTTTGAACATAAGGCTATGTTTGGATTGATGGACTAGAACAGAGCGGAGTAGAATGGAAAATGATGGAATGGAGTGTAGCAAAGCGGAATGCAACAAATATTTCATTCTATTGATTGCCTATTTTTTTTATGATTTGACTAAACCAAACAAAAAAAATGAGTTGATTCTATTGCATGCACCCCAAATCGACCAAAATTGGATGAAATAAAAATTAAAGGATTAGATGGAATAGGATGGAATTGGTCTATTATTTGCAAATCTAAACAATTAAATTCACTGGTTTTATAAACCATTTATAAGAAAAAATTTGTTTTTTAGATTTATTGAATAAACAATGTATTTGAAAAAGTATTGATCAGATACATTAGTTATTGAATGAATCTAAAACGCAAACTTTTTCTTATAAATAGGACCAGAGAAATAGTATTATTTACCATTCTATTCCATACTCCACCAATCCAAACATATCATATGTTTGAAGTATTTTATATATAGGAAATGTCACATGTGGTATAATTATTTGATGATTGAATTTTCTTAGGTAAATGATGTAATAGTGGAGGTGGTGGAAGGTGATGCTAGAAATGTTCTCTGTGATACAGTAGAGAAATACCATGCTTCAATATTGGTTGTGGGTAGTCACGGTTATGGGGCTATAAAAAGGTAAGGTTTCATTTTGGTCATTGTTATCATCCTTGGTTTGCAGTGATATGGGCTATAACATGAATATGCTGAATTTAGTTCTAACGTTTCCAATTAAGCCAATTTCATCATAATATCACCACCACAAACACAAAATTAAGTTGCCAAAAGCATAAATAAACTGCAATTTCCCACACTATAATCCATTTAGATAACTCTTCATATGATCATCATTTCTATTTTAAGCAACAATCACACATTTTGCCTTGTAAGTTTATCTGACTTTTTCGTATTATTTGTTATAGAGAACATGGGCATTCATTGTTTCTTGAAGCAAAGCAAACACTCAGTTCATAATCTCTTATACTTTTTATATGCAGGGCGGTTTTAGGTAGTGTGAGTGACTATTGTGCTCATCATGCTCATTGCACCGTGATGATTGTAAAGAAGCCAAAAACCAAGCACTGATCTATACTGTCATATCCTTCAAAAATAAATATGTAATCCTTTCTGCAAAACTAAAATAGCAATATTCTCAGAAAGTTTGTGACTTAGTTTGTCCTATGGCATGTTAGCTTTGTAGTTTGTGCTAGAAAGTATGTAACGTTGCATTGTTGTTGCCCCGGGCCTTACTTTATTTTGTATATGAAAAACTCAGATTAATGTGTCTACAAAAAGTGGTTTTCTTTTTCTGATAGTAACAGATATATTCAAATAATTCATATTTCCTCAATTTTGTTGATCAATCTTTATTCTAGTTAGGATTATTCTTGTATGTATTTGAATATGTTATGTTTTGAGAATTTTTCCATATATCGGACGACAGGTTCCTAACATTGACTCTCAGTAGAAGAGCCATTATGTAACAACACTTTAAATTATAGAAACTACTACTGAAATGAATGTCCAAGAGAAGCACGTGATAAATCGTCTTTGAGTTCAATAGCACCAACTAGAGAGGATCTTGAGCCATTCAAAAATTGCTTATACCATTCTGCAGAGAGCTTTGGGCATCTTCTCAACTCTGGATCATTCCTATCAACAGAGTACATTCCAAAGCCTGATTTATATCCATCCAACAACTCGAATGCATCAAGGAAAGACCACACAAAATACCCCTTTACATTTGATCCATTTCTGAAGGGAAAAAATGACAAATGATCAGACAAAGTCTAGTGTTTATTTCTGTTGTGTATTTTCATAACTGTATTTTGAACATGGTTTTCATTTGCGGCATATGTAACATGTTTCAAGGATATTGTTGAGATCTTATTTTTCAAAAGATAATAAAATGTAGTAGCAATCACATACCTCAAGGAATCAAGCACACTACCAATGTATGCTTGCAAGTATTCCACCCTTGATACATCATGGAGTGATGCATTGCTTGCTGTCCGTTGGCCTAAAAAGACAAGCATTACGAATGGTTCACCAATTGATAAATCCCTTGAAGCTTAATTTTACAACTCCATACAACTAGAGATAAAAAACACTTGAAAATCATCATATGCACCAACACAGTGATAAAGTTATTTGGCTCTCAAAGAAAACCCTTTGCGCCACAATTTATCATTCAATATCAATCAACATCCAAAGATGATTTCCTAAAAGAAACTCGTTGCAATTGAATGAAGTGGTAAACATACCATTTTCATGAATGAATATAGGCGGATTGCCATAAAGGATCTTGAATGTTTCCAACACTTCTCGTAAAGCCCATGGTGCCATAGGGTACTAAGTCAAATCAAGCCAGATAGTTGTAAAAAAAAGTTAATCTCATGATCGAACCAATTATTAATTAAGATGGTAATTGCAATTAGTTTTTCAACCATTACCTCTTCATCTGCAAGTATATCCTGTACAGCTGCAAAACCATGGAAAACAAGTGGATAATCCATTTTGCTCCACCAATTATTCAACAAGTGATACCAAATGATGTTAGAGTTCAACAAGTTGAAACTTGAAAACATCATACTCATAACAAAAAAGATGGAGTGAATACAATTAGTACATCAAGCTTATATATTTTAAATCTTTAAATCCACCGCGCTTAAACATAATACAGCACATACCGAGTAGATTTGAACCCGTGTCAGCAATGAAATCCCTTAGTGTTGTCTTCGGGGCATCAGAATTGTCCGATACATTAAATTTGCTGTAGTGAATTATGCCTATAAAGTCGTAGGAACCCTTAACTTGTTCAGATTCACGAGTTGTGAATGCCGGTATTCTTGCACCTGCATTTTCCTTCATGATGTTGGGATAGTCTCCGTGCAACAAGGGTTCCATAAACCTGGGAAAAGTTGGCTTATAAGACTTAAATGTTTACAGTAAGAGAAAATATTACAACCAATCTAAGTGTCAGTAACTCACCAACCAAAATAAAAAGTACGGATTCGTTCACATGCTGCCCTGTCTTTCTCTGTATTTGTCCGAGGAACTATCCCAAATGTATATAGAGAGATACCAACAAACCCATGTTGTTGTTTCTGCAATGTAATTAGTCTATATGGAATCATGAACATTACTTGCCTACAAAACTTTTGTAGGTTGGCAAGTATTAAAAAAGATTAAGTGATATACCTTGTACTTTCTTCTATACAATTTCACAGCTGAAGAATGAGCTAACAAAATATGATGTGCAGCCAGGTACGGTTCGAATGTTGAGTTTCCCTTAGAGCTCGTAATAATACAAAATGGAGGAGAACATCGTTGGGGTGGGCTAATTCCCTGATCATAACTACCTACGGCAAAGATATTTGGTTCGTTCACAGTTGTCCAATATTTTACTCTATCTCCGAACTCTCTAAAACAGATGTCTGCATAGTTTGTGAAGTCTTTTCTGCATCAAAATTCAAGACATTATATATAATTCACACATTATAATTCACACACTATAGAATCACAGAACGTACATGACAACACGACTAAGCCATCCTTCATAGTCATCTTCAAGTGCTTGTGGAAGATCATAGTTGTGTAGTGTGACATGTGGTTGGATACCTGCATAAGGGAGAGACTTGCATAAGGCATGTTTTATGATGCAACAAACTAAGAAACTGGTATCGAACCATTGCTAATGAGTTCGTTGATGAGATTGTTGTAGTACTGCAGTCCCTTCGGATTGACGGGTCCTCTACCATCTGAGGAGAAATAAAAACATTTGCAAAAGTGTATAAAAAAACATCAAAATTCAGTGTTTGTGGAAAAGTACTAAATTTGAAGATGAGTAGAAGTACTTGGTATCAATCTGGACCAAGAAATGGAAAATCTATAGGCATCAAGGCCTGTTTCAACCATGAGCTGCACATCTTCCTGCATTATTGTTTGGATTGTCTTAACCAACCAATGCTTGAAATTAAAGATAGAAGTTTTGTGTATTGTTTACCTTGTATTTGTGGTATGTGTCGCAGGCAACATCTCCATTTCCACCACGCGCAAACCCTTAAATTGCATTAACAAATGATATTCTAAAATTGTTGAGATGAAACATGAAGAAAAGACGGATTGAAGTAATAACCGAACCAGCATGTGCAAATGTATCCCAAATGCTTGGAGTTCTTCCGTCTTCATTAGCAGCTCCTTCCACCTGATAAGCAGATGTGCCTGAACCAAAAATAAAATCAACTGGAAAATCACTTCTGCTATAATTATTATGATCAGTAGTAGAAAACACCAACAGAAACAAGTTTAGAAACAAAAGGGAAACAAGAGTAAAATATATTTGTGGTTCCATGTTCAATGATTTCTGAGTATTGGTTGGCACACTAAGTATGACACCATTTGTATTTGTATGAAACATAAAGAAAGAGACAGATAGAAACTTACCGGTTGGTTACGTCTCTATTTGCCTTCTAGAGATATACGTACATCACTTTTCCTTTCTAAAATAATCTTCAGAGGTTGATTGATGGGATTGAAAGCAAAACCTCAAGAAAGTACGGCTCCCCAACATTTGACAATTGCAACATGCCAACATAACATGTGTAGTTATTTACTAGTAAGCCACAGTACTCATCTGAACAATATGAAGCACTCCCACCATCTCATAGTTGATCATTTTACGTATTTAAAAAGTGTGAATTTTGCACTGTTCTGCCATATTTTTAGACAATAATTTTTAAAATGCCATATTTTTCAAATTAAATTCCAAAATGCAACATTTTTAAAAGGGTGTCGTCCTTTCAATGAACGACAGTGTCTTAATTATTGGGTGCTGTCTTTCCAATGGACGGCAATGTCTTAATTAAAACGTAAAAAGAAAAATCAAATTTGAACACTTCCGTCTATTGAATGGGCGACACCTTAAAAAATTTGAATACTTCCGCCAATTGAACGGGCGGCATCCTTGTGCCAAAAAAAATATTTTTTTGACACTGTGGCATTTTAGTATATTTGTTGAAACATATGGTATTTTGAAAATAAATTTTTAAAAAGATGGTAGGGATGAAAAAAATTCAAAAAGTGTAATAATAAAAGAGATAAAAGAAAGAATGATGAAAGTAGTAATGGTTAAAGGGAGTAGAATTTACGTGTTTAATTTGTTTGTTGTGGGAGCCTTAATTATCTATAGCATTAATTGTAGGATATATATGTCGTGTTTTTTATGAGAGGATGTCAAGTTTCAACAACACGTTTTTTTTAAGGAAGACGCAATTGATGGATTTTTATCTTCATGATTAGGAATAATTGGTGGAGATTGATTAAGTTGAAACTCTATTGCATGACAGCATAAATATGACTACTACATATCTAGGGGGGAAAATCAATCACCATTCATAGTACACCATTTTTTTACTCGGTCTCAAATTATAAATAAATAAAAAATTGGTCTAAATTATAAGTTATTTTATATTTCTAATATAATATTAATGACATTTTTTCTAATATATTTTTAAGTATTTATTATTATTTATTCGGTCAATTCTTTTAATTTCTCTCTCTTATATAATTATAAGGAGTGTAAAGTTATACATAATTTATCTTTTTTATAAAATAATAATTAAATTTTTAATTCGTGTCAAATGTTGAAACTTCTTATAATTTGTTTTTTCTATTTTGACTTCAATCATCCTAATTTCCCACGCTTTGTCCTAGCTATTTGTGAATTTTTCATCAATTTACTACCTTTATCTAAATAATACTCCTTTAAATTATTGTGTAAAAAATTATCTCAAATTATACATCATATTCTTCTGTAGTTGAACAGACAGACATGTGCATTCATTATTAGTTTTTAGTTTTGTTATATTTTATTTATTTATATATTTTTAAATATATGCTATTTATTTTATTTTATTTGTTTTACTTATTGATCTCACCTGATCAGAAAGAAATCAGTAATCTGTCACGCGTCATGAGCTTCTGTGTTCACCGGCGTTATAGAGGAGGAAGGGGTGTACCTACAAGGTACTTTGATGCTTAAGTGAGTAACGGAGTTTAGAAAGAGTAAGTACAGAGAGAATAGGTGTAGAAAATAAGATATTTGACCCTCTAATGAAATAGGGTATTTATACTGAGCCCCCAGTGCAGGGCCAACAATTACATTGCATTGGGCCAGATTGCCAAGTCCAACACAAGTAACTGTCAGGGTTTACGTGGCGTAGGAAAAACCAGCACGTGGTCTTCGCCCTGGATCAACTGCCCTGTGATCTTCAGAAGGTGAGCTGACTGACTCTTTCGGAGATGGGTAGTTGTCCGATGACGTCTCCCCGTGCAAGACAATGATATGTCCTACAGGAGAGGGTTGGGCCTTGTTGGGTCTCTCCATCCTGGGACTGGGTTGGGCCCAGTCCAGAACAGTATCCCCCCAAGTCGTTGCTCCTAAGTGGAGGAGTAATGACTTAAGAGCGAGTCAAGGTGTCGAGGACCAGTTCATAAGATGGTGGCTTGCCCGATATATAGGGTTGAGGGTCGTGTACGCCGCTAGAAGTGGCGGATGCTCGACGAGACAATATGACAGGGAGGTGGAAAGTGAACAAACATGCTTGATCTCCAAGCGCGAGGGGAAGACGAACGGGTGCGAAGCGTCTGGTAACGCCACATGTTAGCATAATTAATGTCTGGGGCAACTAGGGGTAGGGGCACTCAAGTGCCTAGGTGTTGCACCCCAAAATTTGACCAACAATTATTTATCCATCTAGTGTTTGAAAGTTGATACCTTCACCAGAAAGTTCCATAGCTCCTCAGATGATTCTGAGACTTTGAGAATGAACTTGATGTTTTGAGAAAGCCTATGAGATGTCTTGATAGCCATCATGAAGCCCAGAGAAGTCATTATGCAAGAGTTCAGAAGATTCAACCATGAATGATAGAATTAGGGTTTTGACTGGGTCAACCCTAGATCAGCTGAAGATTTGGAGAAGGTTGAGACCTAATCCAAGGGCCATGAGATCATGGAATGATGCATAGAGATGTTATAAAGATGATTCCTAGACCAACTCATCATGATTGAGGGGTTTGAGAAGTTTCAAGTTAGGGTCTCCAAGGATTGTTAGTGAAAAAACCCTAATTTGATCCCTATCTTCCAGGCAGTTTTAGCTCTAGATGTGATTGATATCTCATCTTCCCCACAACATGAATGTTGTAGAGCTTGTTCTTAGCTTTAATTTGAGTGGTGGAAGTCCTTTATAGGAGTTGCAGAGCTCAAGTTATGGTCTTGACAAATTACAGGTCAGCAGAGGTATGTGAATCTGGGTCCTTGAAAGTCACCCAACTTGCAGACAACTTTTGCCCTAGTAGGATGATTCCTATGATCTCTTGGTCAACATGAATGTTGAAGGGCATCTCCTTAGCTTTAATTTGAGTGGTAGAAGTCCTTGATAGGATTTGTGGAACTCAACTTATGGTTTGAACAAGACAGGGGTATTTTGGTAATTTGTCAGTTATAGGTCATTTTTAAGCAAATGCCATATCTCCTATTTCCAAGCCTCAAATGGAAAAACTCAAAACATGAAAGTTGCTCAAAATGGCATTTTAAGGCTAGATAAGATGTCTTGAGAGTTTGGAAATGCATGGAGCATGGATATTTTAAAGTGGTCAAAATGGCTTGTAAATGGCTTATAAGTTGAAAAAGTTGGAGTTGGAAATTGGTTTGGAAGATCTATGAATCCAAAATGGGTCATCCAATATATTGTTTTGATTGGAAAAACCATTTTAAAAACAATGGTTTAGCCACATTTTTGAGTTTAGGCTTAAAAATTGGAGTTGCTTTGTAAATTTGTTACTTGCACTTTAAGGCATCAAAAGGAAAGATGGAAAAATGCTACATAAAGGTTTGTAATACCTTATTTTCATGTCATAATACCATATGGGGAGAATTTAAGTAAGATTGCATGGTTTATCATGAGATGGCATGAGATTCACTCAAGATGACAAATTCAAAATCTCCTTACGTGATACATTCTAGAAACTTCATGGAAGGTTCTATAAACTTCCACACATTTCTATTCTCATCTATATAAGCCCTAGGGTGGCTCCATGCATTGGTTGGTGATTCTTAGAGTTTGCATACCACATTTCCATTCTTTCACTCCAAAATGCATTTTAATCCCAAACTCCATTGAAACTTCATCAATCACTACAATTCTGATTATCATCATCATCTACAAGCAACATTGAATATTTGGCAAGAGAGATTGAAGAGAATTCGTGGCTGGCTCATGTATTCCAAGTGATCACTCCAACTTGCATAAAGGATTGGCCAGGTTGATTCAAGAAGTGTGATCAAGAACCACTGCAAACAGAAGCACATAGGTCCATTGAAGATCACTTGTAGCAAGTACCAAGGCTTGGATTGGAGAAGAAACACCATAGCCATCATCACTTGCAAGGTATGCGTTTTCTCTTGAATCTCATTATTTATGCATAGTTATGGTTTGTTGTTAGGGTAAGCATGATAGAGACCAATTAGGGATGAATCTTGGTGAGTATGAGAGCATTCCATGGAAGTTTGTTGTATGGCCGTTTCTGTTTAGGGAGCAAGAACTCATGCCTTAGTGTACTATAATCTTAGTTCTCTAGCTTAGTGTAATCCTCATAAGATGTAGATCATTCTAGGTTAATATGAGCCCATTCCATTTCCATGCATATCCATGTGAAACAAGTGGTACCAGACCTTGCGCGCTTTGTAACTCTTTGTGGAGTGAGTCTTAATGAAATCCATGACCATGGCTGTGTAGAGGGCAATGAGTAGGTCAAGTTTGATGTTTGGATCGTGAGTTTTCATGGAGAGATGAGAGAGCTAGATGGAGTGGAAGATTCGTGTATGGGGGCTGCATTCTTGAAACCCTAAGTGTCCAAGGTAGAAGAGATAATCTCTACCATTAATTGAATTTGAAATATTGACTCTTTCCTACCATCCAACGGCCCAGATTCGTTCAGAAATGGGAGGGAAATTCAAAGATCAAAACGACGTTGTTTTGATTAATGAGTCCGTGTGGGATCTGATCCCTTTTCTATGCGCACCCCCCTCATTTCCAGGCCCAACGATTTCAACTATCATTTCTTTCTATTTGCACCCCTTCCACTTATTTCTTTCTATTTCGTATTCACTTTCTTTTTTGTTTCATTCATCTTCAAAAATTCATAACTAAATGAAAAATGCATATTTTTAACTCATTCTTTTTTTAACATTTTCATTAAAATGTCCAGAATTTTATAAAATATAAAAATTGCACTTTATATTTTAATTGGTATTTGTCTCATATTTTACAAATAAATGCACATTTTTAATCA